GGTCAGGCTACAAGCGCCTATGGATGAGGTCGCCTTCGACGCCCAACGCGACCGTGTGCCTCCGTGATCACAGCACGACAGCGCAGCGCCCTCGTCTCGCCAAGCCACATCAACGCCACCAGCAGGCGGCGCCCGGCAACAAGCAGTTCTACACCAGATGAACCCCGCATCTACCCCCAACTACGATGCAGGCGGCTTCAATGGCCAGCGGAACGACGCAGCCGACGCCAGCATGGTTCCCTTCCCTTCCTACGGAGGTCAGAACCCCGCCATGTTCAACCCGGCCAACCAGATGCCTCCCACCCCGGCCAACCTGCAGCAGATGCAGTATCAGCAGAACATGCTTCAACGTGGCACCCCTCCCAACTTCTTTCCTCCCATGCAGGCCGGCTTCAGCCCTAGCCCGTCAATGGACCACTACAGGAACCAAAACATGCCCAATGGAAGCCCGATCCAGCCGGCTGCGACTCAGGCCCCCCCCGGCATGGGCCCTGCGCCAGGCTACGGAGCCCCTGGCTATGGCATGAGCATGGGCATGCCTGGCGGATACGGTTACAATGGAAACATGGGCGGTATGCAGAACCTCAACGGCATGCAGAACATGGGCTACATGCAGCAGGAACAGGTCAATGGCAGACGTGGTCGAGTAGGTCGTTCCCACCCAGGGCATCCTCGCTAGAAGCGCAAGGAAATCAAGAACTAATGTCCATTCCTTTGAAGCGATGATTTGACAGCCCCGCGCTTCGTCTCGGACTCCCTACGCTCCATCGCCACATGACGACCACTGAATGAGGTCAAGGCGACCCGTGTCACCAGCATGCAACCACGAGGGAAAGTTTTTTGGGAAATGGAGAAGACTCGGCACACTGGCGTTGCAGGAATATTTTGAGGTACATGCGAGAGTTTCTGTGGTTTTTTCCGAGTGATCTTTTTCCTTCTTCTCTATGCTTGTCTCCATTGCACTTTGGCTTTGCAGCATCATCTTTGTCTTACAAACTGGCGACAGAGGGGACAAGGGGGTACCCAGCCTGTGTTTTCCCTCTGTCATGTTTCCGATCCGCCTGTCCATCCCCGGGGAGGGCGTTGGTGTATATAGAGAGCGCTGTCATGAAAAGCGGGGGACTGTTTCGCCTTGTCTCTGTGACGAGAAAGGGCGACAACGCCACCGAGGGATGGATGGACTGTGGGCGGGCTCAAATCGGTGACGCGAGGGCTGCATGACTAGGGAGACATGCCAAACCAAACAACGCGCGTGATCGGCGTGGGGTAAGCACGAGAGCGACAGACAGAGAGCGAGAGAGAGAGAGAGAGAACCTTCTGTGAGGGAATGTCACACACCATGTCGATAGCTACGCCTGTTCGAATTGGCTTTCTTGCACGAAAATAACTTCAGTTTCCACTACATGCCTCCTTGACGTTGCCGTTCTGTATTACGTTGTTTTGATGTGACTACTGCTAAGACTGTAGTATTAGACAAGGACGAATAGCTAGACGTCGTCGAGCGTTCAGGTCCTCGCTCCGCAGGAGGACGGGACGGTGCCCAGCCAGCCAGCCTTCCTCTCTCTCTCTCGGAGGCTATCGACCGGCATGTTCCGGGTAACGGTTTGCAGGAAAGGAGGAATACAAGTCCCAGAAAGGAAGAAGAGAAAAACCACTGATCATGTTTGCAGTATAAGACAAAGCTCCACGTAATCTCCATCGCGAAAATGTCCAAGTAAATAACCGACAGAGACAGAGAGAGAGAGAGAGAGATAGGGCCCAGCACCGGCACTTAAGACGTCGGGGGCACAGGCTGCTCATTCACATCCCCCAAAATCCCAGCAACAGGAGCAGGAGCAAGCGGCAGGGCAGGCAGGGCAGGCAGGGCAGGCAGGGCAGGCTCCTCAACGAGGGCGGGCTCGTTCATAATCTCCTCGTAGCACCGGGCGTGCTCGTAGTTTGTGGGCCACCAGACGTAGCCGGCGGCTTCGTCCGCCTGGGGCTTGAGGCGCCGGATGAGGTCCTTTTGGCGCGCGCAGTGGCCCTCGCTGGGCTGGAGCTTGACGAGGAGGCTGGCGATCCTCTCCTGGCCCCTCGCCTCCTGGCTCCTGGCCTCTTCAGACTGCCGGTGGAGGGCTTCGAGCTTTGCGTAGGTCTTGTGGCTGCGCGCGCGGGACTGCGCAATGTCGTCGAGAAGGTCCTCGATCTTGTCGGAGGGGTTGGGATCGGAGTTCTGGCTGCCGTGGTCTGGTTGTCGCGGGGTCAGAAACACGTACGTCGCTGGAGAGCAGAGAGGGGAGGTGGAGAGAAGGAAGATAAAGAAAGGGAAGAGCAGAGAGAATTCCCACCCACC